CTTGTTTTGTCACCACCGTCGAGTACACGACATTATATGTATCTAACAGAGAGTAGTGTACAGTACAATCCTCGCCATGGCTGTGTTCCTAAATCCAATTTTGCAATTTCCGCAAGCATTTACGTGAGCCTTTATTAACTGCGGGCCCGCCGTATACTTCGTCGTCGGATTGCATGGCATGCAGTGGAACAAAATATTGAAGCAAGCAGGGCTTTTGTCGGGATGTTTCACGAATGGCGTACGCCCAGTATGGCGTTCAACCTGCAGCACGGGGTCTCCTATACAGGGCGGCAGGAGCATGCCTTGCCTTACGCCCTTCCCGAAATCAAACGTGTTCCGCTGGCTGTTGTTCGGACAGGGTATTTAGGGAGGGGTCTTGGACAAGGGTGAGTGGAAGTACACCTAGCGCCCGCACTAAAAAAAAACTTGGCATTGAGCCGAAAAAACTCAGTATATAAGAACGTGAGCACCATTGTTTCGCTCGGTTGATAACGGCCATTCGTAGCACGAACAACCCCGTAGGAACCAAGAACCCCACATGCCCGGCCAAAGCTAGAATTTGTTGAGCGCGGCTACAAAATACAATACACACTTACGTTCGGGCCACACAAGAACAATGTGACCTACCTTGGAGCATCGGGTATCGGGGCCGACTGTCCGTTCCGTGTGCTGGCATCAGACGTCGTGGTTTTTGAGCCATCCGAGGGAAAAGAGACTCAATGCCGGCGTGGGTGCGTATGGCATCCTCTACAGAAGAAATACGTCCGTGGAACTGACGCCGCGGAGCAAACCAGGCATGGAAACGTGGCCAGGATAACATAAATTATGGTGTACATACATTGCGTTATTTTCTGCTGGAGTTGAGGGCTTCGTCGACCAACACGAAGGCGATAAATGCAACAGATGACCAGTGGGCAAACGATCAATGCACGTGCTGTTGACAGCCGGTTCATTAGCAGAGCACCCGATTGTGCAATCATAGAGCCACAGGTCAAAGGCAAAACTCAAGTGCTGCGTGTGAGCCTGTACGTGTCCTGTACAGCCGCAGCGCGGCGTACCAACTCACTTGTTGCGCCGCTGGACTCTTAGTACCAGAGGCTAGGCTCTGAGTACGCAGGAAGTCCGAAGGAGAAGAAGATGGGTTGGTTGCAATGTAGGTACTTGATCAGTGGAGACCAGAAAGAATGTAGAGCAACAGAGTGAAGCCACAGCGGCGGATCTGTCCCGAAAGAACCCCAAAGAATCAGAGTCAGAGGATGGGGCGAGTGCGCGCTCATACTCGAAATCATGGAATCACATCTATCCGGCAACAACGTCGACCAAGCACGCGTGTTCAGAATACCTTACGGGTGAGCTAAGATACGTTTATGGAAAAAATTACTTCAACGCCATGCTCTCGCACATGCCACGTATGCACATTATCTTAGTATTGTACTTGCAAGCATAAGGGATTACTTGCACTGGCGAAACACTAAACGCAGAGCACATCATTCAACAACTGAACTACGTGCGAATTCGGCTGCTGAACGCATACGAATATTTAGACGTCCAAGACAACATGCTTGTCACTATAGACTTACTAGAGTAGACACATACATGATGAACCACACTTACTTTACTTCCGCCCACATTACACATCAAGGTAGACAGCGCATTCGCGTCACACAATAAAGGCGGGATACAGCAGTCCACGAGGGTACCAAGGAGTTAAACGGATGCAGACGATAACTGTCGGCACGCAAGTCGGAGATACTTGCGACACCTAGACGGCTCATGTCTCTCCAAGTGCGTAAGTTTGTGCTACTTGCAATATGACATACTGGAAAAAAATCTAGCTATGCACATTCTGGGTTGAAACATACAACGCCAACCATGTATTCTTCAAAAGGTCCTTATTCCGATTTTGCCATGATAAATACCGATCGCCCCGGTGGTCCAGTCGGTAACCTCCCAACCTTCTGAACGCCAGGTAGGTCATGGGTCCGAGTCTCGGCGAAGTGAGTTTTTTTCTCTCTAAATAAATCCTGTGCTAAGTTGGAAGCGACGCGCTGCGAAGCTCGTTGTTAGTAAACTCGATCGACTTCGTAAGTCGCGAGGGAAGGGGTTGCTGTACCCTTCTCGAAATAAAAATATGGAAAATAGACACAAGTGGGTATACCCACCCCTTTCTCGGACAAAAGTGGGTACTCGAAAATCCAGCGCGCGCGCACTCCATAGGCGACCCCCAAACGACTCAAAACCCCATTCTGACACCTGGGCGACACAGCCAGGGACCATACACAGCACGGGCATAGTTTTTTTCCCACTTTTAGGCACATCTTTGGCCCTAATACCGCCGACGCGCGCAAGGCCTCACCAGAGTGCCCACTTATGTCCGACATCGCGGTGGGTATACCCACCGGCGTCAACTATTTTTTTCATGTACCCACTTGTGTCTGTATTTTGACCCACTTTTGTCCAAATTGACCCACTTTTGTCCACTTACGGACGGCGGAAATCGAGCGGAAATCGACCTCGACGTCACCGCACGGCAGAACATCGAATAGACTCGGAACGTCTCAGAACCTCCCAACACCGTATCCATGGCATCTTTCCTATCCATGGCTGCCGACTGCGGACCGACCACGGAGGAACATGTCAGAAACATGCCAGACCCCTTCGGTACCGGCACGGGAAGATACCAGGCACGGGAAGATACCCGCGGCAAGCCTGTTGCCGTGACGAGTCGGTGTGCACTCGTCGTGGTGGTTGGTGTTCTTGTGTGTGTGTTGTTGCTGTTTGCGCGTTTTTTTGTTCTGTATGCGCGACCCGTTGGTAGTGTTGTCCGTTGTGTGTCACGCATTTATTTGTGGCGTGCCGTTAGTGCGCTGCTTGCCGGGCTTGCCGCGGGTATCTTCCCGTGCCTGGTATCTTCCCGTGCCGGTACCGAAGGGGTCTGGCATGTTTCTGACATGTTCCTCCGTGGTCGGTCCGCAGTCGGCAGCCATGGATAGGAAAGATGCCATGGATACGGTGTTGGGAGGTTCTGAGACGTTCCGAGTCTATTCGATGTTCTGCCGTGCGGTGACGTCGAGGTCGATTTCCGCTCGATTTCCGCCGTCCGTAAGTGGACAAAAGTGGGTACAATTTGGACAAAAGTGGGTCAAAATACAGACACAAGTGGGTACATGAAAAAATTAGTTGACGCCGGTGGGTATACCCACCGCGATGTCGGACATAAGTGGGCACTCTGGTGAGGCCTTGCGCGCGTCGGCGGTATTAGGGCCAAAGATGTGCCTAAAAGTGGGAAAAAAACGATGCCCGTGCTGTGTATGGTCCCTGGCTGTGTCGCCCAGGTGTCAGAATGGGGTTTTGAGTCGTTTGGGGGTCGCCTATGGAGTGCGCGCGCGCTGGATTTTCGAGTACCCACTTTTGTCCGAGAAAGGGGTCGGTATACCCACTTGTGTCTATTTCCCTAAAAACATCTCAGGCAGGAACCGCAGGAGGGGGTCCAACCCCCCCCTCCCACGTGACCCCGGTTGGGTCGTCTAGCTAGTAGAAGTAGAGGATAGGGGCCAGAGGGGCAGACGACAGAATCCAATGATGGGAGGGAAAAAAAAAATTATATATATATATATATGCGAAATTGCCAATATTGGAACTAGCCAAGCTGACTACCTAATGCTGAAGCTACGGTAGTGCCAAGTATTCCAACATACTTCGAAGTATTAATTACGAAGATCACTCAATTTAGAGCAAATGCCGCAGTCTACCCCGCCACATAAATATATACCAACACATGCGCACAGAGCTAGTCTACAACAACAAGGCCGATCGATGCCCTAGTACATTTTATTAGTAGCTGGACGTAGCCGGGATCATACAAGATCTCGCCGATATTCGATTGCTGCGGGTAGCGCCATACGGTCTGCCAAGTACAGCCCTCCATGGGGCGTCTGCTCATGCTCAAATGGGTGGGGGCAAGCAAGCCCGTTCACAACTCCGAGCGATAGATCGATGGCCGCCCGGTTGTTCCCTTGAAATCTATAGGTGCCAACCCCCGTCAAGTTGGAGCGGAAACGGAAACAAAATGGCTGCAAGAGACAAGCAAAGCCGGTACAATTCAACGAATAGGCGACCGCAGACAGATGCAAGGGAGACACAAAGAGAATGCCGTCTGCAATGTTCAGCAAAACCGTTCGAAAAAAAAAAGAAAATACGCACCACGAAACGTCCATAAAAAAAAAACTACACGTACGTCACACGAAACGGTTGCGCAGCACTTGCGGTGATCCACCAAAAATAAATTTCGGGCTCGACCCGCAAACTCGACATTTCCTTGCCAGGGTGGCTTGACTACATATTCTATAGCTTGTCCTGCGGAGGATTGCGAAGCACTCGCACGGCATGCGTGTGTCCGGATACGAACGACTGTTTGTTATCACCCAGGCTTGTATGGCGCACCACTACCACAGCGAGCGATAGACGACAGCCGTACAAGAAACATACTTATTATATGTTGCCTGTATTCATGTCCACTGTACAATCAGTGGGTCGATTTTCACCTACACAGCCATCCTGTGCGTAGAAGCACTACTTGGACAATTCACAAAGCAACAAGCGGAGAACCTCTCTAACTCGTCGGTCGTTGCAGTTGCACCATTTTCCAATGCCTGCGAAAACTACCGACACATGTTGCTCATCGAAACGGGAGAGGGGCGTGGGTCTAACTAAGTGACGTGACACACACGCGTGCTGGCACACGGCGATCAGATGTTAACCGTTACGCGTCCCTCTCCGAACTTCTCCCTGTCGCAAGGGGGCCCAGCGAATGGATTCTCCGTTGCGGGAACCAATCTATGCTACCGGAGTCTATTGTGGCCATTTATTCTCAAAGTATCGTGAGCACGATGATAATCGGAATCTGAATATTGGTGGGTGTGCGAAACCGTCAGAATGGTGTTGATGGTGGTACTCCTCCTCGTCCGTCGAGTCCTCCCGCATAACGGATCTATTTTGTTTTATCTGCTGCTCCGGTCGGACACTTCACGGTAGCTGCTGTGGGAGAACGAGCCTGCCTCCAGCTCTTCAAGTTCCCAGACTTGTTCGGTCTTCTTTCTGCTCTCGTCGCTTGATCCGGCAGTATCTTCGCTTGAAGGGAGGTGAGCCCGGCACCACGATGACCTTTTCTGTAGCCCTGGTTTGCGTCGTTGCTGGTCTTCTCCCGAGCCTTCGTCGCCGCTGTTTGCGTCGGTGTCCTCGCACTCGGTGAGCTCATTCTTCCTCTCCTCGGGGACCTCGCCTCCGTCATTGAAACCCCCGGGAGGAGACGGTGTTGGCGTCGTCACCGGCGAGACCGGCGTGTGCCACATCCCTCCTCCCCCTCGTTCTTTTCCGCCGCGCCCCCCTAGATTCCTCACACTTGGGTGCCTGGGGACAGGAACGAATTCATGAAGGGGACGGTTAAAATGATGGTGCTTTTATGGTGTAAGAAAAAAATAAAATGCGCCTAGGGAAGGGGTGGTGGTGAACTCGTCATAGAAGGAGATACGGCTGATCCAGGAAGCTATTGGGGAAATCACCGTGTTGAACACGATAGGAAAATCATTTTGACGATCTTGAATGATAGAGTACCGGAGAAGGAACGTAGAAAATAGTGGGGGTCAAGTATGCTTCGGGAAGGGTACGGGTTGCGGAGGTATGTGTCCACTCTTGCAGGGAGAATCATCCAAAGTCGGAAGCAGGCGGAAGACCGTCACACTCTTTGTTCCTAGACGCACAGCAGGCGCGCGATACAGCTGTACAGGACGTGTAGGAAATCGGGAAAATGTACATGTAGAGGGCTGGAGAAAACACGATACGGGAGGGGAAAGGCTGCCAACTGGTTTTGGACGCGGGGTGAGCAAACAAAGCAAAGGATGTATGGAGGGGTTTTGAATCGGCGAGTATGATACGTTGGCAAACTGCGGGAGCAATGCTCCGTCCTCTCGAGGACGAGTGATCAATGGTCAACAGCTAACAAGGTATGCAAACATGAGTACCCTCCCCCCTCCATACCTCGACTTTCCGTCGCCTCCTCCATCGCTGTTGTCAGCACTGCGCAAGTCGAACGTAAACCCCTCTCGCATTCCAACCTGAGTCGCGCAGGTAAAACACGTAGGTAGGGAAAGGGGTTATGTTGGGATTTGTAGAGACTACGCACATGTATGCATGTACGCGTCGGCTCGCATCAACGAAAGCACGCCATAAAGACATATTTCGCCCCCCCTCGCTCAGCTGAGGACAGAACTTCGTACACGGGTTTTCCTCGCCTCTTATTTTCCACGTATGCTACACACGCGGTATATATCGGAAAATCATACGACGAAGTGTTCCCGTCCACTACAATGCGCAGCGCCTTCGCGTGAGATCAGGCTAACAGACAAGACTTTCTCCGCCGGGCGCTGTGGTGGTGCGCACAATTGAATCATCTACAGGGCAGTCAGGTTGTAAAGAACGTATTTCGTGACGGGCGCGGGTGTTTGCATATGGGCAGGGGCTATGTTTTTGGTTTTCCTTGCGTTAAAGGAGGCCAGTCGATCAATCGAAATCGGCCACTACCCTGACAGTAGGTTATGTTGGGATTTGCGTGCACCGGATTCCAATCATTCGGGCTTTCATAAGAAAACAAAATCGTAATAATAGTGGCAGAGCGCTATAATTATGTCGAACAACCGCTCCCCACTACAAAGTGGCCTCCCACCCAGCCAAACCAAAATACAACACCCCCCTGGCTCGTAACCGGGTCGGCAGGGCCCACCTGCGCGCCCCGCGTATCCGCCATCGGTTGCTTGGTCTCCGACGATAACTCGTCCGGCACCTTCAAACTGTCCCCGGTCCCCGACCGTAGCTGCGCTGTAGCCCCGCCGCCCTCGGTCACCTTTCTCGAGACACTGCCCCGGCTCGACGCGCCGGAGTCTACTCGCCCCCGGGTGGACCACCTCGTACCACTTGCTATCCGTTGAAACAGTTTAGGCTCCTCGCTGTCGCCATCCACGTACACGCGGGCGCTCGTCTCGCCGATCGAGGCGATGGTGGTTTCGATGAGCTGATTGGCGCCGTTGGACACAATCTTTGCCAGCGCTTGGAATTTCTTTTGGACCTGGTGCGCAGGTGATGCAACATGGATTGTTTCTCGTCAAACGTCCATCCACGCTCGCTCGCCGGTTGGAGTGTCCTCATTTTATTTTACAGAGATTTGGCCCGAAAACGGGCGTGTATTTTGGTGGTTACCTGATCATTTTTCCGGCACGACTGTTTTTGTGTAGTGCTCTTTGCCGTCACGAGAAGCAGGCGCAAGGTCGAAGCAAGAGGAGCGAGTGCATCACGCGACACACAAAGAAAAATCCCACAGGGGGTCCCGCATATCAAGCACGGTGCCTCTCCCCCCTTTTCTCACTCTCGGTGCGACAGAACGGTCAAGGAGATGCATCCGAGCTTTACCCACACAACAACTTCTGTCTTCGACCCTATGGTCTCTGTGAACGTGTTCATCAAGACACGTGAGTGTTGGGCAACCAAGTCGGTGTGTTTTTTGTTTTATGAGAGCCCTACATCACCACCCTAGGGAGGAATGACTCATAGAGGAGAAACCGTCCCATTCCCATTCATGGTGCCGCTTGCCTGGCCAACGCCGTCGGGCCGGCGGGAGCCCTCGCTGGCGGCAGCCTTAGCCGCTCTGGCCGCAACGTTCGACCCTGGCACACGATGGCACAAGAAGATCACACAGGAGGAGGGTTGCTGCTTCCTTCGTGTGTTTGTACAGATTTCTATTGACTTGCGGACCCCTCGGGGCCTGTTTATTTGAGTGTACCTTTTTAGGGTAAGTTAACCTGTGACCACGGGCATCGACCGCGTCAAATGTTGGATCAGTACGGACATACGAAGGTACTGGGTAGAGAGAGATCGGAACGGTTTTTAATGTGAAGACAACAACAACAACAACAACAGATTTCATCCTGGGGTGTTTGCCATATTCTGTTGGTCGCGAGGAAGGCGAAGAAGCCGTCCGTTTGCCTCGCCGGCCGTCAAGTTGAAAGGTGCATTCATGCATCTACTTTTTGTTCGTTGTCCACCGCATATTGCAAGAACAAACGTTGCACTCCAGACAGAGAACCAAGCTCAAAACCTGCTATTTGTAGGTTACCGGGGATGCCCACGAAGTCATCGGGGCGGCGGGCAAAAGTAACGAAGACAGATAAAGTACACCGTGCTCACCCGTCTGAGACCTCCAAACATCTGCCTAACAGGCGTGAACGTTTGACGCCAAACCTGGCACGCGCCTGAATCAAATGAATCGTTGTAAAGCACACGGCGCATCCCGCGCGTTTACGTTCTGCCTTCAATGGCATCGACTCACCGATAACCACGTAATAGAGCAAGGCCGTCGCTATGCCCGTCACCGCGGTACCTCCCCGCAGGACCACCCACACAAGCACCGGCAAGGGCTTGTCCATACAGGCGCTTATGACGAAAAGCACCGTGCGCAGGCACCACAGCACGGAGCTCCCGATGACCACGTACTTGACACGGCGCAGGTAGTCGAGCACCGGGCGACTGCGAGCTACAAGCTTCATGTCCTGGAGTGCCGCCACAGGGTAGAACAAAGTGGAGTTATGGCGAAGACGAGGAAGTTCAATGGTGTCGTTCATGCTTGTTCGGGCTTTCCTCGAGGCCGTCAAGGGCTGGGGTTCGGCGGCCGTGAATGATGGACCAAGTGGATGTTACTACGCCAAAGATTGAGCCCCGAACTCCCCAGCGCTAACACACATAGCAAAAGTGACGACAGCACACGTCAAAAACGGGACAAAGCCCTCTTCGCACCACTCTCGATCCAACCACGTACAACGCGGTAGTGTTTGCACGTACGTCAGCGACCCTATCGCATATTTTAGGATTGAGACTTTAGGTGGGATTTTCTCGAGCTTTACAGCCGAAGGTACGCAGTTCCAGCCACGCGGAAGAGGCATCACCAAGACTGGCAATACATGAAAAGGCGTGCGACCCATCACGACCAACCATGAAGAAATACCCTCAATGCTATGTAGGAAAAAATTTCAAAGGTCTAGCGGTGCTTGAAATTCATTTGGGGACCGATTTTGTGCTCTCTCTCTACAGTGCCTCATCGTCTTGCACGGAGAGACAAAACAAAATCGAAGCTTCCGTGGCAATCAATTGAGCATATAAACAAACTCAATATATGGCAAGTATCCAGCCGATTTTTCTTCCACCCACTGTAAGGACTTCGACACATTCCCTTCGACTATGGTTGTATCCACCAACGGGTAGTATTTCTATTTTTGTACCTACTCTTTTTCAATTGGTAATTCCGGCGGGTCATCGTGTACGAGCTCTGAACGGACACTCACGGTGTAGACGCGTCTCCCTAGAACTATCACCAGCCAGGACGTCACTGCGCTAAACAGCGACCAAACGGAGAGCTCCAAGCGCTCCACGATCCCCCAAAGCCTCTGGTGTGTTATCCCGTATGCTACGGTACCCGCAAAAAACGAGCACATAATGAAGGCTTGGATCAACTCCCCCTCCTGATACAGCTTCCCAAAACCTGCGCAGGAGAGATGAACGGCCGGTATCAAGAGGTGGGCGAGGCGGAGACATACATCGATTGTTTGTAGCCTCATACTGAGGGGGGATGGTGCCCGGACGCGGGAGGCAGGTTGTCGGTTGTGGGCCAACATCAAAGCGCTTACAAGATGACGTCAACGTTGGCTATCGGGGAAGGGAAGGATGGCGTTTTGATGCTGTCATCTACGTAGATCTATGCAAGCGTTACCAAGCTGCTTGGGTTGATGACATATGCAACCTCTTGTGCTCCGTGTCCATGCCACAAACGAAGATCAGATTATCATGGCCTACTTCCACACTGTCGGGTGCCTGCTCGAACTCAATCCTTATGTGTCAGGTAGCTCACGTGCAGTCTTGTTCGTGGCTTGTGCTTCGGTCTTGTTGGTATTTCCCAATCGCAGTTGGAGACTGGCCCAGTGCCGTATGAGAACCGTAGTTACGTATCCCACGCATATTTGCCTCAAGTGGAACAAGATGAGGATTGGCAGCGGATGGATGCGTGGCTCTTGCGAAGCGAGGGACTGACCGGGTTTTGTTGGGCACAATAAGAAGGTCGGGTGCACGGCAGAAGCAACAGAGTATACGGCGATCCACGTTCAAAGGTTCAGTCATTTCTCTTCTAAGCGCTACCAGTGAGAGTTCCGAAGGTAAGTGGTATGATCGTTCGCATGTGACTGTCCATACACGTCCTGCCACGAGCCTCTATTTCTACTCTGTGAAGATTCACCAGGAAGCCAAGACGAATGACCTGTCTGTGGGGGGTGCACACCAACCCAAGCTCCTTCATGACTGGAGAATATTTCTATCCCAAAATAGTACACCTTGTGAAGCGTGCATCTGCTCGCACCGGATCGGCTACTGAACATCTCGCATCTCGGGCCCTGGTGTACAAGATGTCATTGCCCGAAGACGGGATATAGAGCGGACTAAAGCAAAGGATCGCTTTAATGTACCGCGGAAAACCTATTCAGAACGTCTAGGGTTGGGAACAGCACTGACGCAACCACAACCTTGAAGTCGAAATGTCCCGAGCAGTAAACTTGAGGGAGACCAGTGCTTATGCGTCGTATTTAAGGGACAACAGGAGGTAGATCCCGTCTCATGCTGTCGCCGTACAGCTTGGCGTTCACCAAAATCGCCGTCGCGCATGAAACCACCTCCCGACGCTACTCGACGGGGAGAATCATCGACGAAGGTTTACATGATTCTGCACGATATATTATTTCCGCCTGCAGCGCTACGAGCCAACCATAAACTGTAGGCGATCAAACCTCACATTCATGGTCAACCGAACTTGCATTATTATCAAAACTCAGCACATACTTGCCCAAAGACACGGCAATCTGGGGTGACGGAAATGGGCGTCATTCGCCAGGGGGAAACACCGTTCCCAGGCCATGACAATAATGAGGTATCATTCTGAAGTAAAGCGTATGTGTAGTACTGTGTGTTTCATTCTGTGTCGGCGGCGCGCGGTCCTTGTGAAGCATCCTTTGGTCCACACCGCCTGAATGTCTATGTGGCTATGGTCTACGTACGTCGCGCACAAATCAACACACCAGGTGCCACAGCCTGTGTGTAGGACTGGGACGGTTGTTGAAAGGTAATGAGCAAAGACCGGAACGGTTTTTACTGTGAAGGCGACGGCGATGACGACGACAACAACTACAACTTACAGCATGTACTGTTGGATTGAGAACAATTGCAAGCGTTGGAGAGGCAATCCAACGAATGAGCATGTTGAAAGCTTGGCCGTAATCAGCGTTGTATGTAGAAGTAAGAGCGTTGAATGCATGAGAGCACGACATGGATACGTATTTTATAGTTTCGTTGGTTGCTGTGACCAGGGTTCCAACCCCCGTCTTCAGTCTCGACTTGTAAGCGCGGAATGCGGGACTAGATCTAGAGGTATGAAGAGGATAAAACGTGAAATGCAACCACTACCTGCGAGTGACCAAGCAAGGAGCAGAGCGGACCTGGTCCATTCCCTGATATTTCTTGTTTCCTCCATAATAAAAGTCTGTTTTTCACTATTGTAGGCACAATGCAGGATTGCAGGATTTTTCCAACCACTTGATGAGAGAGCAGAGAGCCTCTTTAGAGCCTTCAAACGACAAGCCGCGACAGACATGCGTCATATTTCCCACCCTCCCGTGATAACGTTGTTCCTCAATTATTTGAGTCGAGTGCAAACACATGCTACATGCACTAAATGGTCAATATATACAATATCACGATGGGAAAAAAACGCTCACATGAACCCCCACCATGCGTCACTCACCACTCCACGAATAAATCCTGCGAGGGAGAAAGTGATGATCCCCACATGCATCTGCATTGCGGAGTTGAAGCTCAGCTTCTTCTTTTCCCTCAGCTGATTTTGCATTGTCCTCCCCATCGAAGTCGCGTATAGTAGCCCCGTGGCGCCGTACAAGCTCGCGTAGCATGGGTAGTACACAGTAAGGACGGCGGGGTACCCGGTGCTGTCCGCGCATGGGCTCCAATCGACATCGGGCTCGCAGTGGTCCCCGAAGGGCATTGCCTTGCGCTTGTATGTGGCAAGCGCCAGCAGCCGGTAGGTTCCGCGAAAGGCCCGAGCGACGAGACAAGAGACAAGCGTCGGAGGAACTACATACAGGGACGACTTGGCAACCCGTGTACCCCAGCGTAACAACGCTGCTGTAGGTTAGTCAATGTGCTTGGCTTGGTACGTATCCCTGAAAACATGCGGATCCGCCGAGGGAGAAGACGTGCGTGCGAACCGCTTGCTGTGATTCGTGCGCAAGAGAAGCTGCCGTGCGAAGTCGACACTGTTCGACAGCGAGACGCGCGGAAAAAAAAATTGGACATTGGACGACGTCGAAAATCGTTTTTTTGTTGCGGTTCGGGGGGCCAGAGGTTCTCCTTGCGGTCCATCCAGCACGTACGCGGTGGATAAAAAGGCGCCATCTGCCATCTGTATCAATGCGCTGCTGTGTGCAGCGGCGGCGTCAAATGATTTCGTATGATCATGCATATTACTTATTCATTCGGTGGCACCTTTTCTCTCTCTCTCTCGAGACAGAAGTGTAGGTAGGTGTCCCGATATAAAGTACATGTATGTATGCATCGTGCCGGTTGAATAGTGTCGTCGCTGCCCAGTATACAGCGGTGCTGGCCACGTCTATGGGTACCAGTGTGCACTCCTATGTACACCAAAACCTATATGCCCCTGTTCTGAATAGTGCCGGTGCCCGGTATAGTGCCGGTCAAACCTCTGGGCACATACCGGCACTACATTATATCGGGACACCTGCTGTACTCTACTACTGCTGTAGGATGCTGCTTGCTAAACGTGCTGTTGTTGTAGGCAATGCACCACTACATACTACTGCTCGTATGGTCAGCCGATAGTGAGTGGTACATTGCCCTTCGAACCACACGTTTATGGGGGTAAAATGCTCGTGGACTATCTATCTCGTGTACCGGGCGTGTTCGTGTTTGGTGGGCGGGGATACAACGAGGGGGTGCTTATGTCAGGAACATCGCAGAGTAGGAGCCGTTCGGTACATGTTATACCCATTCTGTAGCGAAATAGATTTGTTTCCGATCAGCGCGTGTTCGTATTTGTTCTTCAAACAGCAACATCGACACAGCAAACACTTTCAGAAGCCGGACGTCGGTCTGTGCGTGTCATCCCGAATTCTTGTTGCAATGTCTGCTCGCAACATTGATTGCCTCTGCCGGGCTTGTTCTCTTTTCAGAATGCCTCGTCAACAAGATTCAGACGTTGCTGGATGTTCTAGGGATCAAGCACGACAGACAGGCGCCTCGCGGCTTATCGCGCAGAAATGACGAGCACACGCAGAAAGAAAAAGTTAAGGAGTATAGCAGTTACAGTCGGGTGGGGTCCACCAATAAGGCGGTGGTTGGGGCAGCTGATAATGACCGCCTTATATGGCGCAGCCGTTTTATTCAATCAGTAGGACAACTTGATTGTTATATTATTTTGGCTGTGCCAGCCAATTTCACCCGCCTTCCATAGGGCGACTGCCTTATTCAGACCGCCGTATCCGGGGATCCCCACTAGTTGTAGTTCGAGAGAATGCTAAGAGAAGGATCCGTTTACAGAAAGCGTTGACCGCATGCAGTGCAAGAGAACGATGTAGGAAGCGTCCGGTCACCAAGGAATCTGTAATTTGTCGGTTAAGTACTGTAGTCCTTCACAAGAAGAACGCGATAGACGAAATCAGCAGTACGGTAGTATCGTGTACAACTCTGAAAATCAATACCGAGAGAAAGCCGGCAATGTTGAGCAAAAACACGCCAAAACCCCACGCCGCATAGAGACTTAATACCGAAGAGTGATCAAACCAGCAACAAGCAACAAGCATCAAGAATAAGGCGAGACCTCAAACTAGATATATCTTGCGGTCGGTAGTCCTTCAGAAGAACGCGATAGACGAAATCAGAAATCAGTTAAACGGTAGTATCGTGTACAACTCTGAGCATTAATACCGAGAGAAAGCCGGCAATGTTGAGCAAAAACAAGCCAAAACCCCACGCCGGATAGACTAATACCGAAGAGTGATCAAGCCAGCAACAAACATCAAGAGTAAGGCGAGACCTCAAACTAGATATATATTGCGCTTCTTCCAAACGCGCCCCCCCGCCCCGACACGGCGCACGACGCCATGAGGTTGGCCCTCCATGGCGAGAAAACCTTCGTGTCCGATGCCCTTCCCCAATCAAAAATATCCTGTACATCCCTACACGGTGTCGAAAGCAGAGCAGCTTACCAGACCACTTGGGAAGCCACCTAGCAAATCGACGGATCGTTCTTACGGTTCGCCTCTTGTTGACAAGCCCTACCATGCAAGCACCCGAATGACCCCCATATCTCATTTGCGGCGAGGGATCGACAATATCTGCACTTTAGGATACCAACGTCCGTGGAAAGACGCGTCTCAAGCACGGTTCCAGCACACACTCTTCTGTCGGATCACTCGGTTCCGCGGTGGTTGTCGCCACTATTGCTGCACGAACAAACGACCGACCGATACCATGAGACTATCGATTCTGTGTCCGTCGACACCTAGAAACTTGCCGGTCAAGAAATTGATTTATCCTCGAAAAACTCAAAATCTGAACTTGAGCACCTTTTGTGAGCTCGGCTAAACTGAAACCCAGACGGGGCCATTCGTTGCATAACCCTATAATAGGAACAAAGGACCTCAGCCTCGGCCGAAACTAGAGCTTCTTAAGTGCTTGCTCCTACTGTAGCGAATGTGTACACGAGAAATATGCGTACTCTGCAGATACTATGAAACTACAGTAATATGTCATAGCTGCCATGCAGACCGTCCGAAACATTTTCCAACACGCGTCCCTGGCAACACTTGAAGGTTTTGTCACCGCGGCTTGGAGTAGTGGAGACTTTCGCAGAGAATAAGAAGCGAGTGTTTCTCCAACCCCGCAAGCATCTCATCGCATGGAACAGCCCAACATCTCTTGCCGCCCCACATGCCACGGTGTGCGGCCAACAGACTCTTGCTGCATCTAGCGATTCCCCGAGCTCCTCCCATTCAAAAGACAAAGAGGCAATAACGTGTCACGCATCGACGCAACCAGGACATTCGCCGAGTTCTCGCGCGACGTCAAGAACGAAAGACGGTGCGAAACGGACACAAGCACTGATTTCTCGCAACCCGCCTCATTCACGACCAAAAGACAAAACACAAAACTGCATGCATCATCATCCATCACGCAACTAGCGAATTCGTCGAGTTCTCACGCCCCCCGGCAGTCGCAGTCTTCCCCCTCTTCCTCCCCTTGTTACCCGCTCCGTTCTCGGAAGAGGGGGGACCAGCCCC